GAGATCTCCGGGGAGGGAGCCATGCGGGTTGCGGAGACATGCGGGTTGCAGGGGCACGGATGGCCCCCCCAGCCCTGCCTGGACCCCCCTACCCCTGCCAGAGCCCCCGGCTCCCCCCAGGAATCCAGCTGTCCGGGCTCCCAGCCCCCAGCAAGAACCCAAGTGTTCAGGCTCCCAGCCCCCTGCCACCCCAGATAACCCAAGTGTGTCTGGGCTCCCAGCACCCCTGCAGGTAACCCAGATGTCCAGTACACTCACGCTGCCACCAGGCAGGCCGGTACGGTCCCAGAGCAGAGCGAGCTCGCTGGCCTGGCCATGGCCCGAGGCATTGAGGTGTCCCTCAACCTGCAGTGCGTACTTGTGCCCCCGCCCGGGCACCGGGAACAAGCGCCCCCCACCTGGGCGCCGCAGTGGCCGCGTCTCACGCTCCTGCCCCGCTGCCCAGCGCCCCACCTCCTCCTGCAGGGGTACAGGGGGAGGGTCAGGGGGCATGAGACCCCCAGAGACCAACCCCAGTCCTCCCGGCCCTACGGGCACTCACCATGTCAGCAGCCCCGGGCTGGCGGGCAAGGCGTGCCACCACAAAGAGGCGCTGCATGCGGGCCCACACAGCCACATCGGGCTCGGCACCCCCGGCTGCACCAGCCCCTGCCAGCGGGTACAAGAAACCCTTGTAGACCAGCGAGACGTCCATCTCTGCACTGGGGCTCAATGTGATGGCCGTGCTGCGCACGATCGACACCTGCAGGGGTGTATGAGCATGCCTAAGACTCACATGAAACTATGCTAGAGTGCTTACAGTTCACACACAGATGCCTAAGGCATGCATGAGGGTCCCTACAGGACGGTTTGCACCAGGGTGCTAAGCCTTGCACAAGGGAACCTAAGGCTCTCGTGAGAGTGCCTGAGGCTCACACAAGAGTGCCTACAGTTCACACGAGAGTGCCTGAGGTCCACTTGAGCTCAGCGTTTGGGGGCACGAAGCTTACACAAGGACTCACAAGTTTCGTAAAAGGATTCACCCAAGGGACAAAAGGTTCAGGGCCAGGGCTGCTAGGACCCCTTGCCCTGTCCCTGCCTCCCCCCAACACTGTGAGCTACCCCCCACAACGATGCCCCTCCACACTGTGAACTTGACCTCCATGATGGCCCTCCATGCTGTGAGCCCCCCCCCGTGCTCACCTTGTCGGGCTGGGAGTCGTTGCGCGGGTGCTGATACGTGACAAGGTGGAGGCCAGGCAAGAAGTTCTCAGCCTGGCAACGCTCCAGGGTCGTGACAAAGACGGGCCGTGGCCCCCACCAGCCATAGGTTCCTGAGATCTGCCCCACGCGACACCGGCTCTGCTCTGTGGGGGAAAAAGAGGAGAGGGTGAGCCCCAGAGGGTGCAGCAGCCCCCTCCCAACCACCCCCGGGAACTCACCAGCAATGGGCATGCAGGTCTCATTCTGGACGCACCAGCCAAAGGGCCCTGGGGCACGGGGCAAGGGAGCGCTACCGCCGCCACCCCCAAATGCCAGGCATGACTCGCAGTCACCCAGCAGCCGCGCCAGGCCCAGGCAGCCTGAGCTAGGGCACTGGGGGAAGGGAGACAGGAGGTCAGCCAGAACCCCTGGCTGGAAGGACCCAAGAGTCCAGGACCCCAGCTCTCCTCCAACTTCCAGCCCCCACGACCCCAAGAACCCAGGCATCTGGGCTGCTAACCCCTACCTCCCACTGAACCCAGGCATCCGAACTCCCAGCCCCCCAAGACCCCAGGCATCCGGGCTCCCAGCCCAGCACCCCCAGCGAAACCAGGTGTCCAGGCTCCCAGCCCCCTGTGCCCCACTGAACCCAGATGTCCAGGTGCTCCGCCCCCCAGTGAACCCCAACACCCCTCCCAGGGACGCACGCTGCTGCGGGGTGCGGGGCTCTGGCAACCGTCCAGGCACCAGGCGCAGGCTGGGTCCTTGGCACACGTGGCCTCCTCAGCATACAGCGAGCAGTAATCCAGGTGGTACTGGGGGGAAATGGGGGAGGGCAGGGTCTGTCCTTGCCCCAGTGCCCCCCCCAGCCAGGACGCCCCCCTGCCACCTCCCTGTGGACCAGGCTGGGGTCCAGGGGAGAGCCAGGGGTCTGGGGAACAGCAGGGCCTGTGGAGGAGCTAGGGGATACTCAGGCAAAAGGTGGGGGGAAGGAATTGGGGGGGGTAGTGAGGGTTCCACAGAGGAGCTGGAGAGTATGGAGGGAGAGCTTAAGGAGGTAAAAAGGAACCCATGGGGGGACTGGGGTGGACCAGGGTCCGGGGGGGGCAGCCACAGCTCCATTGAGAAGGTGGGGGGTACCAGAGAGTGTTAAGGGTCCTGTAGTGCGACTGTGGGGTACTGGGCCCAGGTGGGGGGAGGGTATCAGGAAATACTAAGCATCCCATAGAGAAACTAGGGGGTACCAGGCCCTGGGGAAAGGGTATCAGGGGGTAATTAAGGATCCTGTAGAGGGACTGGGAGTACTGTGCTCAGGAAGCGGAAGGGGACATTTCAGAGGGTATTATGGGTCCTGTAAAAGGACCAGGGGAATCAGGCCCTGGGGGGGACATTGGGGGCACTAAGGGCCCCATGGAGGGTACTGGGGTGACTCACATTCTGGGCGGGCACCTGGAAGACGAAAGCAGGCACCTTGTATGCCAGCAGGTCACCGCGGGGGACCCCGCTGAATCCTCCAGCCACCAGCAGGACTCCCCCCTGCAGCACAGCTGCCACATGCGCATAGCGCCCCCCTGCCGGCCCCCGGCCCTCGCGCTCTGTGGGGGCATGGGCACAGGGTCAGGCTCTGCCACAGTCTCCCAGCACCACCCCCCCATACGCAAGCAGGTCCCCCTCATGCCACCCCCCAGCCCCAGACCTCACCGTGGGGCAGGCCGTGGGCCAGCTCACGCCCGGGCACCCACTGATGGCAGCCCAGGTGGTAGAAAAAGATCTCATCCTCGTAGCACTTCTCTTCATGGTAGTGGATGTGCACATTGCCACCTGCACCAGGGGGCCAAAGGCAGAAGTCAGAGGGTGCCGGCTGATCCCTGCCCAGGCCTGGGGGGTGGGGGGGCGCCACTTACCATAAACCACCATGTAGTCGCCGATGACGGTGGCACTGTGGAAGGCGCGCTCGCGGGGGCCACGGGGGGTGTCACGGGGCCGCAGTGTGGTCCAGAGCCGCAGGTCCACGTGGAACAGGTCCGTGGTGTTAACGCGCATGCTAAAGCTGGCACGGGGTGGGGCAGGGTCGTCGGTCAGGCACAGCTCCCAGCCCCCCAGGTTCCCCCCAGACAGGCATCATGCTCACCGGGCAGTGGAGGGCCGGTGCCCCCCGTAAACCACAAGGGCACGAGACGGTGGATGGAAGACCATGGAGTGGCCAGCGGCTGCGGGTGCCTTCCCACCTGCCGGCACCACCCGCTCCCACAGCCACGACTCCAGGTGGAAGCGGAAGAGCTGCGCCGAGAAGAAGTCCTCCTCTGTGCGGCCTGTGGGGGCAAGGGTCAGCTGGGGACCCAGGGATCTGGGACCCCAGACCACCAAAGAACCCAAGTGTCTGGGCTTCTGGTCCCCTGCTCTCAGCCCCAGACCCCCAATAACCAGAGAACTCAGGCATCTGGGCTCCCACCCCCCCTGCTCTCAACCCCATTCCCCTTGAAAACCCAGGAGTCCAGGCTCCCCCCCCCCTTCTCTCAACCCCACACCCCAAAACTGAAAGAACCCAGGAGTCCGGGCTCCCATCCCCCTGCTCCCACCCCTGCCCTCTCCAGGCCCACTCACCTCCGAAGACATAGAGCCAGGGATCAACGAGAGCAACAGCATGGGCAGCCAGGCCAGGGGGCGCAGGGCCATGGGCTGGGGCCAGCTCACGCCACCGTCCCTCAGCCGGCAGGAAGGTCCAAACGTCGTGGGCCAGGTGCCCGTCCGCCAGCTGCCCCCCGCACAGCACCAGCGCCCCCTGCCAGGCTGCTGCCGCTCCCGAGCGCCGCGCTGCCTGGGGTGGGGGAGGAGCACAGTCACTCCAGGCCACTGGGACAGCCCTGGAGGGAATATGGGAGGGGGGGTCCAGGGGCCATACCGGGGAGGGGCTGAGCACCAAGCGGTGCCACACATTGGTGCTAAAGTTGTAGTAGATGAGGTCGCCCAGGGCTGTGTTCAAATCCAGACCTGGAGAGGAACAATAAAGGGACTAAGGGGGGGACCCTGCCCTGCCCCCCAGCCCCCCACTGCCCCCCACTTACCACCAAAGAGGTAGAGGGCACCGGCAGATGGCAGGAAGGCGCCGGCAGCGGCGGCACGGGGGTGGAAGGCAGGGTCCATGGCGCTGACATTGTACCAGCGCCCCCCGCCCTGGTTCTCACCCAGCGCCAGCTCGCAGCCTTGGCCCACAAAGCCCGACTCACACTCGCAGCGCCCACTGGCCTGCCAAGGCACACACCT